AGAAAAAGAGGAGCGGGAGAGGGAACTTGAAAAACAAAAAGAGAGGGAGAAACAAAAAGAAAGAGAAAAAGAGAGACAAAAGGAAAGGGAAAGAGAGAAGGAAAGGGAAAAGCAAGAGAGAGAAAGAGAAAAGGAAAAACAAGAGAGAGAAAGAGAAAAGGAAAAACAAGAGAGAGAAAAAGAAAAGGAAAAACAAGAGAGAGAAAGAGAAAAGGAAAAACAAGAGAGAGAAAAGGAAAAACAAAAAGAGAACGAGAGAGAGAGGCAAAGAGAAAAAGAGAAGGAAAAGGAAAAACATGAGAAGGAAATGGAGAAAGAGCGAGAGAAGGAAAAGAAGTTCCAAGAGCGACAAACTCAAGAGAAGCTAGAGAGGAGAACAGCAGTTGTGGAGCGCGGGAAGGTCAAAGAGGAGAAGAGAGTTGCGGAAAAGAGGGTTGACCGGACGAGGAGCAGGCCTGTGAAAGTAAAGGCAGAACCTCCACCTAAAAAGAGGAAGAAATGGCTTAAAGAAATGCCCTCTTCCTCTGATTCAGACTCTTCCCCTGACCCACCCAGTGAGGATGAAGGTTTGTTATGTGTGTGCAGTTTTGTAGAAATATGCAAAGCTATATCAGCAGATTCTTTCAATGTAACTGCAGTACACAGTACAGTTTACACACTAAAAGTTTGGGGTTGGTAACACTTTTTTTTACGTTTAAGTCTGTAATGCTTACCCAGGCTGCATTCATTTGACTAAACACACAGTAAAATCAGTGATATGAAATGGTGAACATAGTCCTGTGATGTCAAAGCTGTATTTTCGGCATCATCATCACTCCAGTCTTTAAAGCTACAATGTGTAACTCTTTTAGTTTGTTCTTAGCTAAAAACACTTAGTTCCTTAAAAAATATACAGTATGTGCTGCTCATTAATGTATATTTACTTCGTTCAAGGAATAAAGTATTCTCGTGAGTGTATAATATGCCATTGAAAATACATACGGGTGAGGGGTTCTAATGTCGGTCGCCATGTTGCCCCTCCATCTTGAAAGTACATTAGCCAAAGAGGGACATACCCGTTAATTCAAGCTTCGCCTTTCGCATTTACGTTTGAGTTAACACTCATGGACGAGGTCGAACTGGAAGCCATGTTAATCTTGGACTACATTGGCCACCGTAGGAGTTAAAATGAAATCGGAATTGAGAGGAACAGAAACTAATATTCACTGGATGGTCATATAGCTTTTCACTGCTAGATGGGGGTAAAAATCACACAGTGTAGCTTTAATGCCTTTTTGATCCTCTAGAAATCATTCAATTATGCTGATTTGCTGCTCATGAAACATTTGTTATAATGATCGATGTTGAAAAGAGCTTAATATTTTGTGCAAATTATACGTTTTATCCCCGGATTACATTGAATTGATTGCATATATCCTAAGCGACTTGCATTATATTCAGAGTACATGTTATTTATTTATTTATTTATTTGTTAGTTAGTTCTTGCCTGACCCATGACCTTGCTGTTGATAGCGCTGTGCTCTACTCTATTTATTTGTCAACAGTATTAATTTCTTTTAAAATAATAATCTTACTGTCTGCAAACTTAGAATGGTAGTATTTTGGCATTCTTCGAAGTACCATGTTAAAACCATGATACTTAAAGTGAAAATTGTTATATATCGAAGTACCATGGTATTACCTTTAATACCAGCACAGTACATGTCATGTAAGGTTTGCCCTGGCTCCCAGATCTCAAAAGCTTCTTAAAGGGTTAGTTCACCCAAAAATGATCGTTAATTACTCGCTATCATATCGTCCCAAACCAGTTAAGACCTTCGTTCATCTTGGGAAAATTAAGATATTTTTGATGAAATCCGTGCGCTTTTTTGAACATAGCAACTTTCAAGGCCCAGAAAGATTTCCTGTCATGTGTATTTCCTGTTATGTGGAGCCAAAACGATGTCGCTAAAGTGTATTTGAATATTTTCAGGTGATGGTCTTTTTGTTTTTTGACTTGTTTTGCATCTGTTCCAACCTCAGTATCCACACGCAGTGGGATAAACAGTCGCGCCATGAGAGAAATGTTCCGCAGTTATGTAGAGATGCTGGTCAGCACTGCTCTGGACCCTGACATGATCCAAGCTCTGGAGGACACCAACGGTGAGCACACATCATTTGGTTGAATATAAAGTGCCTGTGTGGAGGATTGGCTTGGGTGATTTAAGGGAAAGAGGGATAGAAAGAATAAAGAAAAGGAGGTTAATAAAGTAAGGGAGGTTGAGAGAGAGGACAATGAGGTGAGACTTGAAGAATAATGACAAGGAAAGATGCTAAGAAAAAGGAAAGCTACAGTGACTGTTCAATTAAGTTTCATTAAATAAGTGTTCAAATGTATATTATTGCTGCTTGTCTTTTGAAAGAAATTACTTTTATTCAGTAAGGATTCATATTTTCATTTTATTCTGTTATTTTGAACTTTTTTTTACATCCATCAAAGAATCCTTAAAAAAAAAAACGTATCAGTTTCCACAAAAATTTTAAGCAGCACAAATGTTTTCAATGTTGACAACCAGGAAGCCTTGGTGAGCATAAGAGACTTGTTTCAAAATGATTTGAAAAACCGTAACACTTTTGAATGAAAATGGAATATTTGTACTACTTAAAAATTAGTTGTCACACCGCAACACTATTCAAATTAACTAGTGAAGAACTTGATAATAAGTAATAGGTACTAAGATGCATTTACATGCGTGTAATAATCTCTTTTGTCCTCAGATGAGCTTTATCTCCCACCCATGAGGAAGATTGACGGTATCCTCAACGAACAGAAACGAAGGCTGTTGAGGAGGGCCAACATGAGTGTCCAACATCAGGTGACGCTGGCTTTCAGTGACACTCAAATGTTATTCCTCTGAGTACTCAAGACCTCTTGATTTGTGTTTTCTGAAGAACATGTTTGGCAGTTTCTCACTCCCCATCCTTTCTCATGTAGGAGACGCTGCACATGTTTCCTCAAATGACAGCAGACTCCCTGGACTCTGGAGCAGTTAAAGTGCACCTGGGCGGTGAGAGTTACAACCGCAAAACACTAAACCGAGTCAAAAGGAGCCTTCCTAAACAGCAGGCAAGTTGTAATTTGACTGTTTTTCACTTATATAATAAAGCTGTTCAGTAAGCGACCCCAAGGAGTATTTAGGCTCTTCAGCCATTTAAAAAAAATATACTTTAAAACTTGACTATTATAAATAGCAAACAGTCATGAAGTATTATTGTATTTTGCATACAGTTCATAAAAATGTAACTGGTTGGTAAAATACTTTAAATGTGTTGATCACAGTTACTTGCAACATGGTTTGAAGGAACGGCAGATATTGTATCACTGGCTAACAGAATCAATGTCAGATCTTATCATGATGAAAAGTCTGATTTACACCTCTACTACAAAAGAGTTTTTTTTTTTTAAATGATTGAATAAAGTTTAATCTTTGGTGAACTGTTCCTTTAAGTGTCAAAAACCTTTCTGGAGTCATTGCAGTTCAATAATGGATCTTTCATGAAGTCTCTATCATATCCATCTCGTTGTTAGGACCTGAAACTGCCGACAGAGACTTGTCGAATATACAGTCTCTATCACTCTCTCCATCACTACAAATATCACACCTTTCTGCACTGTAAAAAGGAGGTATGAGGAAATATGAGCTTATTTGAGAAATGCATCGCTGTATCCGTGTATTCGCTCGTAAGAACCCTCTTCTCTCGTTCTCCCTCTTCAGACGGACAGTATAGAACAGGCAGCTGAGGAGGATCCAGGTCAGGAGGAGGTGGTTCAGCAGTGCATGGCCAACCAGGGCTGGCTAGAGACTCTGTTCAATTCCTTCATTGAATTGCTGAGGCTCAGCAACAAGGCTTAAGATTCAGCTATTGACGTTCTCCAAGTGCGTCCTATTTGGAGAGAGGAGAAACTCCTCTCACTCGAATGAAACCGGTGCACCGCCATGTTGCAGGAAAATGAGATTTTCCTTTGCAGGATGCGTAAGAGCCAGTGGCGGTTTAAGCCGTTGCATTTTAACATAAAGTTTTTGTAAAGAAGCTTTCATTCCTCTCTCTTTCATTATGTGTCAGCTCCCTGCGACGGGAGCCACAGGGAGATGTTATGAAAACAAAAACAAAAAAAGAGCAGAGTGTGTAAAGACAGTTGTCTGCACAGAGACGAATAAAGATAGTGCCAAAGGGAACAGGGTTGAAAACCTCACTGGTCAGCAGTGTTTTAGCAGAGGTGAGCTTTGAATGCTATGTTCCATGCATACTCTTATATATAAATATGTATTATGAACAATTATGATTTGTATTATTTATACATGGACATTTATACATGGTTACCTCCCAAAGCTGGGACAGTTTTCTGTTATTATTTTGAATAATAATGCTCATGTTTTATGAGGGTGTACATTAAATGGGCCACCCATAACCCCCTATTCTTCCTGTCCCCTAAGATGAAAGACAAGGTGGACAGGATGTGGACAAAAGAGTGGGGACAAAGCAATGTGTAGTTCCTTTTTTCTTCTTTTTTTTTTTTGGTTAAAAAAATAGAGCAAAAGAAAAAAGTATTTAAAATAAAGTGTTCTTTCTGTTTGTTCTTTAAAAGAAAATGAGGAAAAAGGTGTATTTGTTCGTTTTCTCAAAGAAAACATGATGGTGCAGAGGGATGTAATAGTTTTTAAAATGTGCAAATGTCTGTGTTTACTGTTTGTTTTTATCTGTTGGTTGTTTACTATGATAATTATAATTGTTATTATTATTGTTATTTTGGAGGTTTGCTTATTTTTCTCTCCTGTAAATACTGTACAGTTGCTTCGGTCTCTCTCTCTCTACCTGTCCCTAATCTGTACATGAATCCTCCTGTATTTGAAAAACGCAAATAAAACAAAAGAACAATGACTTTATGAAAATGACGCATTTTCACACCAGACTGCTTTGGAATTTTTATTTAATTAATTCATTTTCATATTTTTGTTCCTGACATATGAGCTAGTATTTTGCATTGTACACTGGTAGGACTGAGATGGGGAAAATATATTGAAAAAATAAGTAGTTGAGCCAAACAACCTGCTCTAATAATTAAGACTGAAAGGTCCAGTGCTGACTAATTCTGTAAATGAAAACATTTCTCTGAGGATTTAAGTAATGACATTATGTTTTTATTCAGCACATAGAGTGCTAGATCCAGCCTCAGCGCTTCTCTTCAAGGTAAACATTCTACTCCTGCTCGAGCGCAAGAAAAAAAAAAGGATCCGTGGAACTGCATTTCCTGTTGTTACCATGGTAACATAACCATGGCAACACCAGCAGCATTTTCCAGGAGTGTTTATCTGTCTTTGGTGTGATGCCTGTCTCTCTCTCTCTCTCTCTCTCTCTCTCTCTCTCTCTCTCTCTCTCTCTCTCTCTCTCTCTCTCTCTCTCTCTCTCTCTCTCTCTCTCTCTCTCTCTCTGTCTCTTTCTTTCTTCTTTGCCTAATAGCTTCCTATTTCACTCTTTCTAGCGCATATCGTGACTAGCTAGAGTTATTACAAATGATATTCTCCGCTATTTTGTGCGCATTAAAATGTAAAAAAAATGTTGAATCTTCCTTATTCTTCTCTTTACACATAATACAGTTTTATTTTTTCCTTCTCAAAATCATTTTCTTTTACGTCCTTTGATTACAACGACATATTAAATTAACAAATAACTTATTTATAACTTAGTTATTAAATTTATAGTTGCATTATTATTTTATCCCTGTATCAGTAATTACTGTAAAATATCTTGCTCCTGTCTCTCGATAATCATCAGCTCCGTTATTGTTCTGTCTCACTCTCATCTTCCTCTTCCTCCTCTTCCTCCTCGTCCACGGCGCAGTGACTCATCTGACCACACAGCGGCGCCAGTTTGCCGTCCGTGGTCACTCCCACTGGCTGAATGATCCTGTCCCTGTACGGGTGTGGTAGAGGACACAAATGATGATGAAGATGATGATGATGGGGTAAAAAAACAACAACTGTGCACTATAAGAGGGCTATGTATTTTAATCGGACTACCTATCCACTACACAGTTTTGAAAAGAAATTGAGAGATGATTTATATGAAGGAATGATTCATACCGTGACAGCCTGTTGAATATATTTATGAGATTGAGCGCCTCTGCCTCTTTCTCTTCTTCAGTCATCCCTTCCATTGGATCAGGCTGTTCCTCCTCCACCCGTCCCGTCACAGGGTTAATCCTGGCCTTGGCCTGTCTGTACTCCTCTGTGTCTGAGTCAGAGTCACTGGAGTACTGCTGTTGAGGAGAAGGGCCATGGCCTTTCAAAAGACCCCGCTCTGCCAGCAGCCCTGCTGCATTACCGTAACCAGTGTACTTCACAAACCTGCTCACTGAGAGAGAAAGAGATCGTGAATATCATATTGTTTATATGTCACAGAAAGGTGTGCAGTTGGGTGAATTCCAAAAGGTGCTTTTGCACCCTTGAAGGTCACTTCAGGAAGGGGACTCCAACGAAAATTAACAACTGAATCCCTTCACGAAGGGTCGTTTCATGTGGACGTTAGCGAAGGGAAGATGCCATGGTCACTTACTTATTAAATTATTTAATAATTTATGGTCATGTTCTGCCTTTCGGAGTGAGTAGGCATAGGGATGCTAACTTCTGATTTGAATTTGCCCAATAATTTTGTAAGCCAAAACATTGGAGTTTTTAATTTGATCACTTCTGTCCACCGTCCCAAAGTCAATGGGTTTTTGGTTAAATGCCTGAAATAAGGCCTGTGGTTAACGCAAGCTTTGTGAAGATTATGATAATGAACAAAAAGTGTAAGAATCAACTTTTGTTTTGTCAAAGTACTGATTTACAAGGCCTGGTATAAGATGCGTTTTTGTTGATCAGATCACAAGTGGGTGAGGGAGACACATTCCTGTTTACACATGTTTTAATCCGTCTCTTTTGACCACTTTCAAACACTTCAGTCTTGATTTCTTCGAGGAGAAGGTCTATGTAAATGTATGGGGTTTTTTTTCCTGATCTTTTGATCTAATGGATTAAATACTTGCACAATTTACATATGAATACCACTGAAGAAAACAGAAAAAAACAAGACCGCACCAAATGCTGAGAATACATGTTAGAAATCAGGAATTTGAGAACATTGTTCTTGGTATGTTTTCGTCTTCAAACCAAACTTGGGTCTTCAGCTAACAAAGTTTAAATTCCGTCTTTCTAGCACGCTCGCCATAATCATTAATGTTCATTATATTATACATATTATATATCAGTAGGCAGAGAGTATGTATGTGGTCTTTTGTGGCTGTTTAAACACATTCGACCACATGAGCGTCTACAGTACAAAAGTATTTAAATGAGACCGGATGGAATGGAAGTGGTGGAAAGTGGACAACCTCAAACCGTTTTAGACCCGTTTTAGTTTTAGACCTGTTTAGACCTGTATTTAGCGTCATCCACTTATGATCTGATTGACCAAAACACATCTTAATAGGTGTATACAGGGCCCAAAAGCCAACAGGAAAAAAAATCCAATAGCTTTTTCTTCAGGGAACCAGGCATGTCCTGGTTTGCCGAGTTAGACTTGTTCCTGGGTCAACATATTTCTGTCAGAAAATATCCCTACCCCTAAACCCTACCCATAAGTTCCTTAATTAGAGGAATATTATAGGTGAATAACACTGATGTACAAGCACCTAATGCTGGTTGCAAGCCTAAACTTGATATAAAGTGTAAACTTGTCCGTCGAATCTGATTGGTTGATTGGATTGTTGATCCAGGAACATGTTACACTTAGTGAAATCAGGTTCTGCAGGGAAGACACGGCGATGCTAACCTCTGTTAGCCTAAAATATGTCATCACCGCAGTGCTCCATAAAATAGCATGTTCATACCATGATGCATGAATATGATATTCAGTATGGTATATATCAAGTAGATATGTCAATGCACTTTACATGGTTCAGAAGATGCATTTATGTACCATTTTCTTTACAGAGCACAAAAAGAAGCTCAGCTGCACATTGTTTGATATCAGTGTCGACATGGGTCATTAGTCGCACTAGTCTGCTTCTCAGTGTGTTCCCCTGTTCAGGCCTCAGCTCAACGTCTCTCAGGGGAGGCAGGATCTGCACAAAAATAGCACAGGATCAGGCTACTGGTACATAGCCATGAGAATAAGAAGTACATGTTGTGTCAACCTTAATGTACCATGTTTATAAAAGTTATCTAGGCTAAATGGAATAACACTGAAAATGTTTTTTAAAAGAATTTGGAGGTGAGTTTTGTACCTGCTGTCTGAGATAGTGCCTAGTTTCCCTGTGTGCTTTGCTGCTCTCCATCAACAGGTTTAAGACTGGAGTCAACTTTTCCTTCGGCTTATGGCCCTGTATAATTCACATTTGAAGATGTAACAATTATCAAAAAATAAATTGCACAAATGTAAAATGTTTAATCTCCAAATAAACATCTGCATAAGTTACATAAGAAAAAGTCATTGGTTTGCAATGACATGAGAGTGAGTAAATAATGGCATTATTTGAATTTTTGGATGAGCTCTCCCTTTGACATTGATATTTGGTATGTTTTGGAAACTGAACCCCAGTCTATGCATTCACTGGAAACCCCTAACCTTGGCATTTCAAGTGCCATGTTTTTCTTCTACAGGAAACCTATACAGTTCAGAGTGCTCTTTCTCACTCTGTCCAGTCTCTTCTCCATAAAGAGCAGCAAAGAGTGGACACAGTCCATGTTGACTCCGCTGGACTCCTTTGAACCTTCGGATAGGCGAACGGATAGCAGAACATCCAGGCATTGCAGAGGGAGTGCTGAGAGGACATTTACAGTGTGTCTGTGGACATTCAGCACAAAAGACTTATAGAGATATAATGGATGAAACCTCTCAAGACCATCACACTGGTTTGATTCTCACTCTCACCCTTGCAGCTCATCTTTTCTTTCCTCTCCCTCACAGTTCACAAGCAGACAGTGACGCAGGACTGCAGCTAGGTGACGATACAAAGCTGCAGTCTCCTGTGGCAAGAAAAGAAGAACCCAAAATGTTGCAAATAAATTCCTTAATAGAAGGGCCATCCTGTTATGGTGTACATTTTCATGCCCTCATCATATGCGTCTTATTAGGTTGGAGAAAAAAAACTAAACTTTCAATCTTTTAAAACGAGAATCATAGTTCATATTAGTTATTATGATTTGTTTTCTTCTTTTATGTAGTTAAAGCAACTTACTAATCAATGCCACATTAAGTCATTCCCTCATTTTAGTTAATCCAGGGTCACAAAATCCTATTTTTCATCCTGTCTTCTTTTATTTACCTCGTCCACTTCCTGTCTGTGCACATTATAGGTAATGTTGAATAGGATCTTCAGAATCTCGAGGGCACGTTGTGAAACCTCCTCACACACCGGGGGTGCTGTCAGGTCAGTCAGCACCTCATGCGTTTCACCCCAGCACACTTCTAAACACTGTTCCAGAGCTGCAGTCAGCATGGACACACCGCGCTCCTGACAGGAAGAGAAGGCACAGAATGAGCTAATGAAATACCCACAGATTTGAAACCTAAATTTAAAAGGCAGTTTGTGTTCTCGAAACACTTTCTTTTATGTGGTCTGTGACTCTTAGGGGGTCTACTGCAGGGGCTCCAATAAGTCTTATAACTTATCTCAGTTGGTTTGGAGCATTTCTCAGATCACAACTGAAATCCTTAAAACTATTTGTTCAACCTCCACATCATCTTGTCACTTGTGCACACCATAAAATCAATTTCTCATACTTTTATACAACTTTGGTACATTAATGCAATTGATTATGTACAATTGTCTGCTGTTTCCAATATTGTCAACTGTTTATGTCACGTTGATCAAAATATTGGCCTATATTACTATTTCCCTGTAGATTTGTCGTACTCTTCAAAACATCTTAGGCATTAGTTCCTTACAAAAGTCATTAAATTCAAAATGGTTGACATGTCGTAAACTGTCAACCATGTTTTCAATAGATTTCTATTAGACTTTATTTTGTAAATACAGGTGAATTTTGAATTTCACTAATGAAGGAAATAATTCATTGGCAATTTGTTCAAAAGAATGAAATTGCTTTTATGATGTGCAAAGTGAGCCACTATGATGTGGAAGTTAGTAATGCAAATTTCAGTAAAGATCTAATAAATGTGAGCAACTGTGATAAAAAAGTAAGGATTCAGGAATTTTAACAAAATTACAAAATTTTACATTGAGTCCCTGCTCCTCTCCACCAAGGGGCCATTGGCCTGAAAAAGTTTAAAGATTCCTGCTTCATGGGCACATATATCTATCACCAATAATATCCATTCCATATTCCATATACTGTACGTATCACTGAGTGTTACCTGGTGGAGCTCTATCCTAAGTTCAGGCCGTAAAGCAGTCAAGAGAAAGAGAAACCGCAGTTCATAAAATTGGCCAATTGGAGGGGATGAGGAATGTATACCCTCCTTAAGTTTCTCTGTTAGGCCAGGGAGCAACCTGATGAAGAAAACAAAGCACAAAAGAATGAATCAGAAAGTGCAATTTTGCTAATATTGAATTATTTGATGTTATTGTAATTGACAAAAATAATTAACATCTTATATTTTAAGCAATACTTCAGGGTGCTGGCTCTCTCTTGTGCTTTCGGGCTGTTGTAGATGACATTGCACAGAGCCTTTATTGCCTCTTTCCTCCAGATCTCTCCATCATCATGGCCCTCTTCATCCTTTTCACCTCTGGCATCCCTCTTTCCTCTCATCAATACCCCACAGGCCCCATCTTTCCTTACGCTTTCTGCATGGTGGTCGTTTTGTGCTTCAGTATTACAGTTCGATGTTAAATTCACAGGATTGAATTGCAAACATCCTTCACTGACCGAAGACTCAGCACAGGCTGCGGAGGCGAACACTGAATCATCTGTCTCACTGTAACATGTTGGGCTTTGGGTATTGCTGTCATCATTTTCTGGGCGTGTCTCCGTCTCATTCTCAGGAGTGATGTCACTGTGGGTGGAGCCCCACTGAGCAGCCTCTTCTTCAGGCCAGGTAGGCAGGGTGGAGATTCCCCCGAGTCGAGCGAGAGTTAGAATGGCATAGTCTGTGATCAAGGGGGCCAAGGCCTTTCGGTCCCGTGAGATGATTCGCAGAGTTCGCAAACACACCCTCAAAACGCCCGGCTGCAGCCGCATTCGAATAAACAAGATCAGAGCTGCAGCAAGCCTCTGGAGGAGACCGAAAAGAGAATGGTTGAAAGGTTTCACAGACAGGGCTTAAACCTAGTCCCAGACTAAAATGGACATTTGAGCTGTTTTAAATGAAAGCAATTTGAACTTAAATATGTCAGTGCCATTGTTTGCTCTCAAGATACACATCTGTAATGTTTTTTTTTTCTAAGGCATTTTTGTAAACGCTACCCAAATGTCCTAATAAACCAAGGCCAAAACTTCAAACATAATTAAGTAAACCTAAAGTTCTGCTAAAAATATGTTTAGTAAAACTGTAAATCAATAATGATAATTTTAATGACTTTGTGACCATAAAATTTTGTCTTCTATGCCCCCTATTACGAAGTCTTGCCGTTTTTGATTAAGCACCTCCTTGCGAAAATATGAAATGTGCTGTGATTGGTTAGCTGTTTTCTGGGAAATGTGACACCCCTTCATAACCAAGATTTCTACTAAGATTAATGATGGAGTCAATTTCATGGTTATGACTTCATAACATCCGGAAAAAGTGTGTTGTAGTCAGACTCCAAACAAGGCGTTTGTTGTAGTTCTTGAAATTCTTGACTTCTGTTACAAATTCAAGTTGGATGGTTTATAAATTGATAGATAGAACAATAAATAGATTTTTTTCTATTACAATTTAATAAATTAGACAACTTCCGGTGAGATGTGACCATCTTTTTTTTAAATTCTAAATCAATTGAAAGGCTAAAAGTCCTTCAACTCTGAAAATTAACTTGAAGAAATGGGGTGTGTCTCAATCAGTTCCCTAGTTCAGCAGTCAGGGCAGTGATCAGGGAGACGACCTTTTAAAGGCATCGATGCTCACTATCTTCCCTTATCCCTATGTTGATACTGATTCATGACCTGTAGGAAGCTATAGGAGCTGATTGATACGCACCCATAGATGCGATTCTGGGTTGTTAATTTTTTGGTCATATTGTTTGAAAGAAGTTGTGTTTGACTCACCCTCCGCAGAATAAGATCTGGATCCTCATTCTCATCAAAGTCCAAATCGGAGTCCGAGTCTGGAACATACTCTCTCACTTTATTCATACGGAACTAAGTAGAGAAGAACAAATACAAGTACATCTACAAGAGAAAAAACAAGCTTTTGCAAGAACTGAGAGGTGACAGGGGAAGAATAAAGACAGCCCTTCAAGCTCAAGATTCATATTTTAAACACTGGCCTGCTTCTTAAGATATCAACAGAAGTTCATTGAAGACTAATAAAAGCTTCAGTTAGAATCCATGAACACAGAGGAGAGATTATAAAAGCTTTGTGTTGTGAGCAGAAACATGATGAACGGAGGTAAATGGCTTTTGTGAGTGTATGAGTACTAATAAATTATCCTTATCTATCAATAATTGGTCCTCAGTAACAACAAAATAATGATCTCGAACGAGTGAACAGGCCCTTCCGACACCAACGTTCTGGGAGCCGGCATGGTGCCCCAGGGTGAGACGGCGAGTATATGAGTTTCAGATTATCTGCCTCTCATTTTTCTTCCCCACAGACATCTCACTTCCTTTTACAGCAAATACTTTTTCTTTTTCTTTATGTCATGTGAAAGATTTACCTCATCCAGCTCTCTTTGCTGCATTGATGGGCAAAAAGTGAAAAATCATGATTAAAAAAAACACATTTGTGAGTATATGCCCTGAAAGAATGAGATGAGGGTGAAGTGAGGGATAAAGATAAGTGAAGGTGGACGAGTGAGATTTACATTATTAGCTGATGTGTTAATCCAATCCATGTGTGTCCTCAGATTGAGGACAGATGGATAAACAAGGAAAGTCTTTAGAATTTACCTTTCTTCTCTCCCTTTCTTCCACATCAAAAAAGAAACATTGCGAGTACTGTGAAAAACAGATAGAAAAGATGAAATATAAGAGAGACAATAGGATTTAAAGGCTCTGCAAATGCTAGACACATTAAAACTTCTCTACATCACAGAAATTGTAAAATGACTGGATAAGTAATGAGAAACACCCTTCAGGTTTACCCCAGTTCTGTTGTCATGGAAACTGCTAATATCTGAGTGTTGTAGAAGTAGTAGAAGATTCTAACACTGTTTTTTGTTTTTTTTTCTGCCAGCACAGCGGCGATCATATTGAGCACAGAATTAATCTTATTAAATTTAATTACATTTCTGCATTTCAGCAAATTGTATTTACCTGAGAGTTGTAATCATCCAGATGGATTTGAACATTGTCCTGGTCACCTTGTTTGATAAATTGAATAATCTTCTCCACGTCTAGAGGCATTCTTAATAATAATCAACCAACGACATATGTAAAGATAATTTACATGAAGAATATATCTAAAGCAGTACTGAGACAATCTCATAATGTTTATAGATGCACTCATATTCCTGCACTTACCCTCTGTGGTTTTAAAAATGTGTGATGGTTTCCCTGCAAACAATTCGTTTTAGTGTATGTGCTTGTCTTCATGGGTTCCTATCTGTAATCTGACAGGCCTCAGATTTAGCTTTGAGTTTTCCTAAACTAATCCCACCCATCCTCTCTCACTCATTCACAACATGCTCATAAATCTATTTCTGCCTCCATGATTGTGCATTTGGCCCTGTCTTTTGACGAAGGTTTGCTGTTTTGTATTTCTTTTCTTTGTTAATAATACAATTTATTGCAATAAAAGCAGCGCTAATTAGTGAGAAAGCCAATAGGGCCAGACAATAGGGAGAAGAAAAGGCTTGAGCAGCTATGCTGGCATTCAGACAACAGTGAGAAAAAGACAGGGTTGGAGAGAGAGAAAAAGAGAGAGGGGAATAAAAGCAGTACAGGTTTAAGCTTAATTGGGGTAATTAAACAAAGTGGGTGTCAGAAAGAGAAAGGCTGGTATGACTGGAGTAAGCTGATGGGGTAATTATTTGTACTGATTGAAAGTGATTCATTGAGGCTAGTTGTGCAAATACATCTCACTGATGGACCCTCATTTAAAAAGCAGGTGAAAGACGGGACAAAAAACGGAGAGAGAAAATAACATCAGTAGCTACTGCGGGCTGAGGAAAGACATTCATTCTTGACAAGACACAACCAACCTGGCCATACAGAAAGAGTTTTATTTTTATTTAGTTTCGTAATCTGTTAAGTTTCCTCAGAAGGAGAATGCACAGATCTGGATGGCTCCTGTTGTCGTTGTGTGGCGTGTGCCGGCTCTCTGGTGACACACACTGGTGGGCTCGGGAATCGCAAGCTGTGCGGGATCAGCTCGTGAAAGCGCTGCTGGTTGTCTCTTGCTTCTACCAACCTGGCAGGCGTGTCCTAGAATCTATCTCAAAGTTCGAGATGGAACATGAAATCCACGGGGAGGAGTCGGATCCAGATCCAACTCCTCCTACCTTACATACACCTAAACCTAACCAACTCCGCCCCCTGATCCCTAAACCCACCCCTAATCCCTAAACCCAACCCTAATCCTACCCATCTCCACCCCTTGGATCGTGATCCGACTCCTCCCCGTGGATCTCATGTTCTGCATTGAGGTGCTACTGGAGAGTTCCATGAAAGTTCTGGATTTTTTTTTTTTTTTTTTTTTTAATTTTGGGGTGACTGCAGTTGTGTTAAGGGACAATAATTAGGCTAAGAAAACCAGCAAATGTTTTTTTTTTTAATTATTCGGTGACGGTGGAAAGTTTTAGTGCACATTGACTTTCATTGAATGAAAACACTGATAACTTTTCAAAATAGCTTTATGTTCCACAGAAGAAAAAAGTCAAATAGGGTTGGAATGTATATTTTTGGGTTAGCAATCCCTTTAAGTCGCAAATAGCTTACAGTGATGATTTAGGCTATTAAATCATTAGAATACCCTCGTAAAAAATGCAGCCTTTCAGGTGTAAGATTTTTGTGACATTAGAATTATGAATCCCTTATAGCCATAATAGCCATAATAGTAGCGATACTTATTGGAAATTCATTCAGGTGTTGTGTAGAGCATATAAAGCTATTTGATTAATTTAGTTTTAATTTTCTTATAATTTAATATTAGGCATGCTGCTATGCTTTTTAGAATTGTACTTCTATGTTCTCGATTAGAATATATCGCTTTCATCATAGAGACATTCGCCTTCGATATGCGTCATCGCCACAGACAGAGGCTGTTGAGGAAAAACATCATTTCCCATAAGCCCATGCCTGCAGTTGCACAGAAGGGGAAGCAAAATGGCGGAATCGGATGGGATGGGCCTCTTATTGTGTTTCTAAAAGAAAAATGTTTCGTGCATCTACATGTCGTTTCAAAGTTAACAACAACACCGTGGGTGGGTTCAGGGTGTTTTTAGCTTTGGGATTCACCAGCCGGCTCATCTCTGCGCTTTGAAGGTAAACGGCTCTTATAGCTTGTCTAACTTAGCCATCCCGCTAACCCCTGTAGACGACAAATTGTAGGCAATAAATTATTGCAGCTAATATGAGAAGGTTGCTTACAATAAATACTTGATAAGAAAATCAGCTAGTAATACTAAATGTATCCAACATGAGTATTGGCGGTTTTCTCATGACAGTTAACAAGTGAGGACATAGGTATCGTTAGGCAAGCACTGCAGTGGAGCACACGTACTAAAGATAGCATCGGCTGTAGCATCATCTGAAATCAGTTTCATCCACTGTACACGATCAGTGCTGTCACTGGGTCAAGAACTGAAGCCGCAGTGTTGAGTGTCAATATAGCTCATGCTTTCTGATCAGTGTACTCGAGTGATACTCAAGTTCCCATGAGATGGTCTTCGAGTTAAAGACGGATTAATTGCAGTTTTAACACATCCCACAGGTATGATTGCTCAGAGCTGAGGTTTCAGATCTTGGTTATTCATAACAAAAGTGTTGTGTGATGTGTGTTGTCTGCTATGTGTAGATGGGAACAGATGGACAGGCTGAAAAGAACGATGTAGAAGTGCCAGGCAAGGTAAGTGTCACAAAAAGCGATAATGAAACTGTTCTTGTTGGTGCAGGTGCAGGTCATCGTGATCATATACTGTAGACGATGAGATGAATATTTAGTGTGCACAGCTCTCTCTCTGCTGAATACACTGTATGTCTTCAGTCTCATGTACTTGTAAACACAGACTGAACAAGGTCCCGATGAAGAGGAGGAAGTTGAGTCTAAAGCAGACAGAAGGACAGTTGGCTTAAGATGTTTCCAGGGAAACAGAGAAACCTCGGAGGATGAGCCTAGTGAACTGGTAAAGTTAAATAATTTATGCTATTTGCATAATTGTAAGTTATTAGGTTCTGTCTTGTTACATGCATTGTCTGTCTGTAATTTACCAAGTTTGAAACCTGAGTTGACCCTTTAACCATTCAATTTGTGTTCCAATCTTGTAGGGGGCTGCTGTTGTTTTTTCCTCTGAGCCTGCATTTCTTGTGCCTCAGATCAGCTCACAACCTCAGTACTGGTAAGTGCTTAATTTCAGCACACAAAATTCAAAATTGAGCTTGATAGATGCTATTTATGTCCTATCCAATTATATGACTTTGTTTGCTACTTAAATGATTGTTGTTGTTTTTTTGTTTTTAAATAAAATTAGAGGTATGTGAGTGTTTTGTCTGTGATGTGTTGATTTTTATAAAGGATTGTTTTATTGGGTCAATCCGTGTCAAATCAACCACATTTTGTAAACTCTCTGCTCAAATTTTTTATTTTGTTCATATTTTTTCTGTAGAAAAACAAACATAAATAGTGATGAAAGGCAAAATGTTAAACATTGTGGATGTACATTTACTGAGTAATGCACTATTTTGTGGAGGGGAGTCAAAATGACACATGAGATTTGGAGGCGAATTACAGGGGGGTAAAATGACTTTAAAAACGACGGCAGGATCGGTTGACTTTAGCCATTTTTGTTTCATTACATGCCAATGGTGACAGTTAAAATATGGCGAAATGCACTTCTTCTGTTGTTGTTTTTTGCCTCAAATTTTGTATGCCTGTTAACTATTAAAGATAACTTAATATTCTTTTAGATTTTGGTTCTTAAAGTCCTCGTGAAATCTTGTGGTGAACAATTAATCCGTGCAAGTAAAAATATATTAAAAAAATGTTTTACCTTGGTAATCTTTAATCAAAATCTGAAAAGTTACTTCCGGTCTGGAACGGTTTCTTTTTCTGATGACGTAGGTTTCACAGTTTGGGTGGGGAAACGCTTAACCACTCCCCTCAAACCGTTAGTTTACTATGCGCGAGAGATGGAGAGGAGGAGCGCTAGAGTACAACTAGGATTGGGTATCGAGAATCGAGTATCGATTGGAACCGAGACTAACTTTTCGTTTTTCCCGGAATCGTTCAAAAGTTAAAATTTCGATTCCTAGTTTAGATATTCACAGTCCGCCGAGCGGAAGAAGAAACCGCTGAACAACACCAACGAAGAAGCGTCTACCGGAAGTGTTGGCATAACCACGCGAGTCGAACATGAGTACCTTACGTCGGCGATCCAAAGTGTGGCTTCACTTTTCGAAAAATAACGAAATCTCGGCAAAATGCAAAATTTGTGACAAAAGGAGTATTTTTACAGAAGGAGTATTTCCTTCAGAAAGGCCATTGGTTAGCAAGGTTAGCTAAACTTTTTTGACCCTGCCTCTTAAAAGAATCGGAATCGAGAATCTTTAGGAACCGGAATCGAAACAAGGAATCGGAATTGGAATCAGAATCGTTCAAATTCAAACGATACCCAACCCTAAGTACAACCCTGCCCTCTGTTCAATATTCCGTTTCACTTGGAAATACGTCACAGCACTGGAGAAAAATCGTTTGCGACTTCCGGTTCACGGGGACTTTAAAGTCCCTGTAATGGCAAATTTTGGGCGGGGCTAAAACAGGGTTCGATGATGCTCTGGAGCCCTTAAGCTTCTGGACATGCCCCTACTTGATGACGCACTAAGGCTGGCCCCTCCCCTAACAATAGAGCACATTTGCAGATCATGTTAAATTACTTTATTTAAGTAGACTCAAACATGCTTAAATATGGTTATTGTCATTTTCTAAGCTTCCATTCAGTCTATTGACTGATTGTTTTGTGGTCCCATTCAGTTTCTTGCACATTTGTATATTTAACATTATTTGTTGTTCGGATATTCCTCTTTAAAAGAAAAAAGTATCAGCTGTATGCAACAGATTTTACTAATACTAATACCAAGTCAACAGATTTTACTAATAGACCTATCAATCTTTGTGTAAAAGTAAAATAATGACATCTTTCTAAAGTCATTTTTACACCCCTCTAATTAGTTTCAATCTCAGGTGAAAATTGTAATTTTTACCCCCCTCTACAAAATAGTGGATTACTCAGTAAATATACTGTATGTCTGTGACATTTAATAATTTGACTTTCATCACTATTAATGTTTGTCTTTCTACAGAAAAAAATATTCACAAAATAAAACATTTGAGCCGGGAACCTCTGATTGAGTTGACACGGAATGACCTTGTATTTGCTGGGTGCTGGCCTATTAAGGCAATACGCAGTACACATTTTGTCAAAACATTTAGTTGTCTGTGGTGAGATTAAGAGAAGTTATATCTCCATGTCAAATGAAATAAGATAATTCAAATTTAGTCAAAAATTGCCATTAAATCTC